TTGGAAATCATGTTGTGACTTTTCTGTATGTTGAATGTTCCAGGAGAATTTGTCTGGCTTCTCAAAAGCATCATAAGCTGAGTCCCAAAGGGTCCCTTTGTACTAAGGAGATTTGCTATTCTTGGTGCTGCTAACAGCTTTTCAAAATTTCCTTTTCTTGTTCCTGTCTGTTCCTTTTCTTTTTTAAAACATTCCTCATTCAGAGCCAAATTCAGTCATATTCTGAGGAGGGTATCTAACTCCCAGGTTTAAATATTAGATGGAACAAAGGCTTATGAGGAAGTACTTAACATGCAATTCTCTCCAAACAACTTGGTCTCCTTTTGCTCAAGAATGAGAATCTGTGAATGTCTGAAATGGACTCATTCTCCAGTCATGTCACTAGGGTAGTGGGCACAGCCCCAAGCAGGCAGAGTTCAAGAAGCATTTGGATGATGCTCTCAGAAAGAGGGTTTGAATTTTGAGTGGTGCTGTGTGGCGCCAGGAGTTGGACTTGATGGTCCCTGTGAGTCCCTTCCAACTGAGGATATTCTGTGACTCTATAATTCCACGTTTGAATATAAGAAAGGCATGCCCCTGTTCTGGAGAGACATCTTTATTTTTACCTGGGAGACCTATCCTTGGAGCATAAATACTTCATGATGACTTCTAAATAGAAGAGTACTGGAGAATGTAGGATGAAAACTAGCACTGCTGCCAACCTTTTTACTCTGGAGAGCTGATTGTCTTCTCAATTTAAAATGCAATTTTAAGGCTGAATATAATGGAAAGTAATCCTGATCTCAGTAGTCTGTGCGTTATTGGCAGGCAGTGATCTCTTCTCCCTGTTAAATCTTGTAGATGTATTAGTGACTTTCGGTCAAATTAATATTGCTGCTCTGAGATACTCTACTCCTACATGATACTTGAGAATAGCTTTATGTCTGAGGAAGGTAAAGCAACTTCTATGATGTTGGAAACTGCAACCACTGTCCTCTTCCTCAGAGAGAATTCTGTTTTAACCAATGTAGTTAGAAGATTCTGGGAGGTAGGTTGAGGTGTTCAGGATTCTTTCTGTCACTGCTATTGTTGGTGGCACTTGGCTTTTACTCTGATTTTTTGTTTTGTTTTTTTTTTTTTTAATGTGAAGTAGATAGAGGGAAGTCTTGCAATTCATTGTAGGAATTGTAAGATGAGTACATCACACAATGGGCAGTAGGTATGGGATAAGACCAGGACTCAAAGGTTGTTAGCACCAGCTGGGGCAAAGGAAAACATGCCTTCAAGACCTTTGATGAAAGGGCTGAGCACCATTAGTAAGGTTCGGAGACTAGGTTCCTTGTATCTCAGCTATTCCCATCTTCTCAAGAAGCAGCAGTTATCAGTCACTTGAGTCCAGTAGAAGACATGTACCTTCACCAAATAACTGTGGATTGTGAGGAGCACTGAAAACAGGGAAAGCAGGCCCATTCTCCTCCACAGAAATTGCTGGCTAATGCCTGCTTCTGAAAGCAAAATGAGGTCACTGTTCTCTCCAGTATCAGCCGAGTCCTAGCCAGGGGATGGAAGGCTGCTTCTGCCACTGCAGCACTCAGAGAGGCTGAAAAGTCCAAGGAATTTTTCCACAGACATGATTTGCTCTTAATTAACAGCGCAGTCCAGGTGGGTTATGATCTAGACATACTCAATGCAAAGCTGCCAGGAGCCTTTCCTAGGTCAATGATAAAAACACCTGTTTTGGTGCTTGGCAGAGCTCTGCTGGGAGGTGACACATTTTGTCTATTACAAAATTTAAAATATATTACATATACCTCCAGAGACCAATGACAGACGATCATTAGCAGGGACACATTCAAATGGCTCATAAATCACAGCAAAAAAAGCTGGGTCGTATGCTTTTTCTGAACTATTGTCCACCTCTTGGAGACAAAGTCAAGTGATTTGTTATCATGCCGTGGTTCTGAGCTAACAAACATGTGCCCAGGGGCTCCCACTGAAACGGAGCTGGCCTTTTACAAAGTCAATAGTTTATTTACTGAATAAGAATAAAGCACCCAGGAAGATCTTTTAAGATGTCAGCAATGCTTTTCATTAGCTGAAGATGGCATTTAGGTCTTGATCATGGCATGTTTATTCATTAGTTTCAGTGAAATCCCTGTCCTGTTTGCACGGGAATGTAGAAGTGAGTCCTGGTAGGATGAATGAAAGGGAGAAAAGACTGTGTGTGTTTGCCCCTTTCACAAGAGTGGGAAAAGAAAGAAAAAAAAGAAAAAGAAAAAGAAAAGAAATTAAAAACCAAAACAAAGTATTACAAAGAAAATGTATTGAAAGGCAGTAGATCTGTTTTTTGGGTTTTGGTTTTGTTTTGCTCAAAATTCTGACCAAAGATGTTTGTCAATGTATTTCTCCTAGATAAAGCTTAAATGATAGTTAGGTTAGCACATTAATTTTCCTTGCTGAATACATTTAAAATTTAGTTGGATCCATTTGTTTCTTTTATGAAAACAGTATTTTCAGTTCAACTCACTCTTTGCAGGTCTTCTTACAGTAAGTTTCCATAGTTTACTAATTGACATTTAATGTAAAGCATTCTTCCTGCTACCTGAAGCTGTTGATTCAAGGAGCTGCTTTTTAGTACTTAAACTAGACTCGATTGCTCTCCCTGTAGCTCAGCTGTTGGTTACCTTCCCTCAACCTGGGGAGCACAGCTTTGGCCTCAGCTGGTTATCAGGAATTGCAGCTTTCCTATCCCCTGGGCTTGGTAAAGGGCAATGCTCAGAAGCTGTTGTTTTGTTTAAAGAAAGTCCTATTGCAGAGTATTTCAGGGAAGGGAAGAGAGAGGGACACCCCAACTCTTTCTGTCATCACCTGTTCAGTCAGTAAGTGGTAAAAGCATAACTTAACCAAGTCTTCCTCTTTCGCAGAAGCTTTCTAGGGCCGCGTGTTGACTCCTGGGGAGGAGAGAATCTCAGGCAAAAAGGAGCCAGGAAAGGACCCAGACCTCCTGGCTGCGATGCTGCCAAACACTCAGCAATTTGATGGAGGGTGGATGTAGGCTAAGGAGGAGAGAAGTTCTGCTCCTACCTTTCCCTTTCTAATGCCGATGTCATGCTATTCCCGCGGCTGATTCTGCTGCACCGTTGGGTTGCAAAGAGTTAAAATGGAGAGCAGAGCAGCATGTGCACGTTACAAACTACATGAGGCAAAATCCAGAGCTTGAAGTCCGGAT